CTCAACTCAGATCAAGACTCAACATATTCTCTCCTGTATCTCTCAGTATACTATACAGCCATAGTCATCACTTCTACCATTTCTATGAAGACTTAACTGTACCATTTTCCAAAGCACCTCCAGATTCAGTGACCATAAAATCAGCCATATCATCTATATTTGAAATACAGTAGTGAAAATATGCTGGTTCCAGACTGTGCCTTTATATGCTCTTTATTTTAGAAGAGAATGTGAAGTTTCTGCGCTGTCCGTGTTGTAGTAAATGCTTTTCAGACTTGTTTTCTTGCATCTACAAGCCAGTGTCCTTGCTTAGATAACTGCTCTATGCAACGACATTGCTTTGCTTTGCACACAGCTTTTGCTAGCAGAGAAACATTCATTTTACGAATTGAAAAGTTTAATTTGACAGACAGCCAGAGACAATTTTATGAAATCACTTATTTGCAAAATAATGTGGATTGTAGCATCTGATAGTCCTAAAATCGAACTGCACTAATGATTTGGCCCTTTGTTTCCAAAGTACTTGCAGCACGCTGCAGTAATGTATCAGCATTGAGTCAGAGTCAGCGAAAGTCACAAAGTCATACAAATTTGTTTCTACTTTGTTTGCTTCCTTGACAAACTGAAGGGTTTCATGTTCAGGTTTTTAACTGGCTGATTAATTGTGTGCTCTAACAGTAGATTTCCTTTTTTCTTTTTTTTTTTTTTAAAGTGTATATATTTTTTAATAATCTGAGCTGCATTGTGTGCTTTTAACCAGACAGACTCTTCCTTTTCGATTGACCTTCTGTAAGCAGATCTTTTACTGTTCTACGATCATCTGAGCTGCTCTGTCTCTTCCCTCTTGGACCTATCGTAGACCACAGAGTTCGTTTATCACACTGATGCTAATTGAAAGTGGCACCGTTCTATTATAGGTCAGTCTCTGGAGACCGAGGAACGAGCCGTTCTTCTCCACGACTGGCAAGGAACGATTATGATATTAATCGCATTTCAAAACGCACGTTCTTGTCACATAATATCTCTATATTTCGCAGCTATACATAATTGTAGTATACAGTTTACAGTTGTGGTGTATGATAGGTCCTATCACTTTTTTTCTGTGGAGATAAACTGTAATTACTTTAATCTGCTTTAACATCCCTCATTCCTCTTTTTCCTGACCCTGTCCAGTTCTTTCCATTCTTCTCTTTCTCTCTCTCTCTTTACAGACGTTTATCTTTCAGTCTACCAGGCAGGACAGGTAGACACAGGTACTGCTAAATTTACAACAAAGTACTGTAACCTTAACTGCAGTTTACACCCCCCCCCCTCCCACCCTCTTGAGTCTCTTCATATGGCCCTCCACGTTGAAGTAAAGTGACGTCACTTACATACAGTAGGAATCTTTCGTGGCAGACCCAAAAATGTTTCCCTCCTTAATCAGGAACAAAAACGGTCGCGGTCGTTGAAATTGCAGTCTAGAGATGTAGTAGCATGCTGTCTTTCTAATAAAAAAACAAAACAAAAAGACACAAGTTTTATGTGTGAGTGGTTTGTATGTAGCAGGTTGATAACTTAGCTTTGCATAGATAGAAATAAAGAAATGTTTTACCTTGTCTATGTAAAACCAACTAGCATCTCTAAAGGTCACCAAAGTGCAGTTTGTCTGGGATTGTATACTGGGCTATTCGCTACTATGAAAAAGTCTTGAGTTCTATTTTTATTTGGAAAATGGGATCTAGGTGCAGCACGGAGAACTATTGTTAAACACCAATTTTTGCTTGGAAGCAAAATATAAAGAAATGAGGGGTGGCTCGAGACTTTACTGTAGGATTGTGTGTTGCGCAGCAGAAACAATATAATAGAAGTCCAAGCCAAGAACATTTCTAGCAAAAATGTCCCTTTTTAAACAGTGAAACATTGTTTTTACACATGCACAGCGAGCTTTGGAGGAGCTGGAAGGTGATTTTTCATATGTTTTACCAGAGCCAGAAGACAAAAGTAACTCATTTGTTTCCCGGGGTTTTCAATCTACATGCTAAGTTACAGGCTAACACTGATATCATTTATAAGCGAGACTGAGCCCAGGGTGAGTTTTTCAAAAGGCTCATTTATTTGCATGAAGCACAGAATCAAACTGCAGTTATGTGACACGAAGCTGGCGTTGCTATTTCTGTGTGTGTTCGTCACGCAGTACTTTATTAAAAACCCACTATAATGGATTTGCACAGCAGGCCTTCAGGCGACCTGCTGCAAAGCAACAAAGTATCCTTCACTGTTAATGCCGAGCCAATTTGCTGGCTCAGCATTCCTTTCGATTAACGACACGGTTATCTTTCCGTCTAACACAAGTCTCCTTGACTCCTGGCAGAGGGAGGGACACCCCCTAAGACAAACAGCCTATTGAAATAACCTTATGAAACATGAAGTGGATTAATCTCCATTCCAAGCGTACCTTGCGTGTCAGGCTCTGAAATTATTTACAAGGGTGTTCATTTCTAGCGAGGCAGCGATCATGCAGTTTTCTATCCTTTTGGTCATTTTTGGGTCTGTCTTCCAAAGATTCAGCTGGGGGTTCTCTAACCGCACTGATTCTCAAATGTCTGCTCGTACTTGAGACAAAAACATCAAATCATTCAGTATTCAGATCTGTGTTATTGATCATAAAAACTATACTTGGCTGGATTCTTCCCTTTAAAAACGCTCAATTTCTCTTATATAATTTCACATTGAGATTCATTGTGTTAGAGTGAAGTGCCTCCTCTGTAACTGAAAACAGATCTCCCATTGTAGTTTAGTGCTAGTAGGCTTACAGCCTTTTCCTATCATCAGTAGTTAACACACATGCAAATGACACACTATTTTTTTTTTTTTTTTTTTTTTGTTCATATGTATTTAGACAGAAAAATGTTAGCTACTGTCATGTGTAGGCTCCCAGAGGTAATTCAACTCACTAGAGGTATAGTATCACCTGTACTATTACTCCTAAAGCAAACATTGTACGTTTTCTGAAATCTACCCACCTATCTATCCGAACATCATTACCGTCTTCATATCAAAATCCATTCTTCTGCTTTACCCAATTCTCTCCTTCCATTTTAACCTTATCGGTCCTCAAGAGTCCGGTGGGTTCACTTTCCAAGCAATGCTGCCTTTTGTCCATTTGATGAATGTGAAGTAGTGCTCAAAATCAGTGAATGGTGTAGTACAGTATGTCCTCACCGTTGACGCATAATTGGCTCTGGTTGTGATCCAATCATTCTCGAGAAAATAAGAAAAATAATGCATGTGCGTATGAAGCTATGAAGGCATCTGAATGTACATTTGCACATGTTGTCTGTCTCAGTAGCTGTCAGTGCTTTTGCATTTTGTCAGCAGTTGATTGTCTAGTACTTTGTTTAGCACTGTGTGTGTCGAGTGTTCACTTTTCAGTGTCTCGTCCTGTAACAGCATGTTTTCGGCTTCACTGGTTTGTGTCTTATCAACCCTCCTTGTGTGTGTTTTTTGTGCGTGTGTGTGTGTGTGTGTATAGGCCGGTATTGCAGGAGCGCCCGCTCGTGCCGTATCAGCTGTAAAGAACATGAACCTCCCGGAAATGCCCAGAAACATCAACATTGGTGACATCAGCATAAAAGTGCCAAATTTACCCTCCTTCAAATAGTGGCAGCGAGATCCCGAACCTGCAGATGTCAGCCAATGTTTACAGTGATGCAATCTGTTTACCACAACCTCAATTCACCAACTTTTATCAAAACTATAAATCTTCAAGGTACTGTGTGATCTGACACTCCTTGTACGTGTGCTTTCTCTTTCTTCTTGTGTTATTTTTCTCAGTTTGAAGTAAAAGTAAGTATTTATTTATGAATGGTACATTCCTTACGCCTCACTGAAGGTTGGCTCATGACTTTCAGCTCACTGGAATCGGCTAAAGTGTTTACTTGAAAGAGAATTGTGTGGCAGGAAGTGACCTTTTGGGGCAGTCTTACGAGTTTGTTTTTTTCCAGACTAAGAGAATCAGTCAAGTAGAAGTGAAAGCAAAAATATTTCGAATCCAAAATTGGAACCAGTTTAGTACAGTATTGAGAGATTTAGGGCACAGAAGATTATTATGTTGAAGATATGCTGTGTGACAGAAAAATATATATGAAATGATTTTTCTTTTATTTGTATGCAAAGTATTTTTCAAAGATTCACCATGTCTTACCAAATGATGCTCTTAATTTTTGTGTGTATATGACTTATTTTCTCTTCTTTTTTCAACATAATAAACGTCAAAACGAAACCTGTGTGCTTGGCTTACTTCATTTTTATAAAGATCTTATGTCAGCTGCTCCTGTTGGGAGTCACCATGGTGGATTATCTGCCTCCGTCTCACTGTATCCCGGTTTCTCCTGGCTCGGCCTCCTGTCTTTTTGCCAGTGCCACTGTCTCCAAACCATCTATCACAAGAAGTCTCACTATCATCTAGACCTTCCCTTTCACGCTTGTTCCTCCTGCTATAAATCACCCCTGATACTTGGCTAAATATGTATGTGGTACATTACATTTAACTAAATGTTTAAAATAAATATGCTGCCTAACATTTATTACAAATTCTCAGATCCACTGTACTTTACTTTTGTCAAGTCAACTCATAAAACATTTTTGGGTTATCAAGTGCAATGGACAATTTAAAATAAATTTGGGACAAAAACATACAAAACTCACCCAAAAACCTTCTTATCCAGTATGTCGTGCCTTTATTGCCTAAAAACAAGTTAAACAGAAAACAAAAACCAGTAAACTAAAATGACGTATTATCATGATTGTATTTGGGCTTTTATCAGAACAACAGTCCATTTGCAAGGGGGAGGTTTTTAAAAAAACAAACAAAAAAACCCAGCAGAGCCCCAAATTTGTTCTGGTAAATGTCAGATAAAGCATAAAATACATTTTATGTGCTTTTGCCGGGTTTTTTTCCCTTCTTTTTCTTAGCGCTTTTCTTGCAGGACAGGCACTGATTTGTCCAACGCTGATTCCGTAGTGACTAGAGATTCACTGTGCGCAGTTTTTACGCAAAACAAAATCTCACAGAAACTTTATTTTGCAGAAAGTAACATGATGACAAATGTCAGCAGTAAGTTTTCGTTTTTTTTTTAATGCAAGTAAATGATTTCCCTCCATCCAGCAGGCTAACAGCAGCCAGCGCGGATCCACTCTCTGCCGTGACTGCGCATCTCCGCGCAGCTTTGACGGTCACATGACTTGTCTTGTGACAACAGGAAGCCGGAATGTCAACAGTGTGAGGATGCTGCTGTGGCTTTGACGCTTTTCAATTCTTCAATCACTATTTTTAAGGACGCAGACTACAATGACTTCCATTATAAAAGAAACACAAAGGTGGGACCCCCCGAAAAAAAAAATTACATGTAACGACATTTTATCTTGTAGCAAAGCCTGAGCTACCTGTAGCATACGAAGGCATGCCGAAAGTCGATATTGTAATTTGTTGCATTAATACATGTTAGCAAAGGGTATCTATATTTATCTTTTTTACATTTTGGTGAGATTGAATTGCACAAATGCGCCTTCTTCCATTTTAGCCTTACGCGTTTGCTCAGTCTGGTATGGTAACATTAGCAAGTATGTTGGTGGGCTGGAGTAAACGAGTCATACTTTGGTACAGTGGTCGAACTTATGCGCACAATGACTTAATGACACTTAAGCAGTGTCTTTGTAGAATAAAAATACTACTGGGGTGCCGGGTTAAGTAAAATCCCACAAGGATATATTTAGAGTTAAGTCTGTACAAGTTACTTAAAGTTACTTATGCTTAAAAAACAAAACTACTATAACTTGAAACTGGGCAGAAGTATTGGCCGCCTTTAAACCACTTAATAAGACAATTGAAATCATATCATGTAATCGATTTGAATAAAAAAACTTTTACCCATTTAGACTTTCTGTTACTATATGTAGTATAGCTGCAAGAGATTTAAATATTTTTTTAAACTTTTTGATGAAAGAAAAGGCCAGTTTACGATCAAGATAGATTTTAAAAACAAAACAAAAAAACAAACCCTAAACAAAAAGGCCTGAACCCCTGAATCCTGCAATAAGGGGATGTGGTGTCACTACTATGCTGTTTGGGGTATTTTTCTTGCAGGTTTTGAATCTGGTTGTGAAGCAGGATCGCTGAGAAAATGGTTCTAACGGACATAGCCTGGCTGATTTATCTGCAGCCTGTCTATTAGTATCGCAGTTTATAACGACTAATAAATTAACATCGAAAGAGTAAAGAAGAGACTGCTGAAACACCCTTCAACCATATTATGAGTGTTGATGTTGCATAACTGGTCCACCCGAGGGCACTCTGCAACTTCCCTTTTGGAAAGAAATACAAATACTACAAATGAGCCAAACTGAGTGTAAACGAGTACATAAATAACTACATACTATAAAAAATTAGGGAAATATGTTTATGTTTAGTGGGTCTGAAAGAAAAAAATATCAGCCAGTATTTCAGCATGTTTTGTCCAACGCTGGATTTTTAAATAATTGATTATCTGTATTTGTAACAGTCTTAATATTCCCGTTTCCATCAGGCTTTACTCTGTGATAACCTTTAGCCCATGTAGCCCAAGAGGATAGATCTCTTCCAGGAGCCAGTGCACTCAACCATAGATAGATAGATGCACAGATGTCTGTCTATCTGGGATATTGTGCAGTATTAAATAAAACAATGGGAAATGATCTGGGAATAATATAACAGAAAAAAAAAATCAAATTTGTAAACTAAGACTTTTCATTATTTCATGAAAGTTAATTTCATGGTATTCTCTCTTATAACAACAGTACATAAACATCTGGCAACTGAGGAGACAAGTTGTTTGACCTTTGGGATTTTAGCTGCTCAACAGTCCTGAGACTTCTTTGCCGTATTTTCTAAATCATGATGCTCCAGATGTTTTCAGTTGGTGAAAGTTCTCTTTTACTACAAAGCCGTGCTGTTGTATTAAGTGCAGTATTCAGTTTTCCATTGTCATGTTGAAATATGAGAAGGCCTTCCTTGAAAAAGTCATCATCTGGATGGAAGCATATACCCTGAAAGGTATATATGGGTTTAGACATTCCAGATGTGCAAGTTGCCGGTGCACATGTGCACACACATACTATCAGGGAAGCGGGCATTTGACCTTAGTGCTGATAACAAGCTCATTGATCCTTTTCTTCTTAGCCCAGATGATGTGGCGTCCATGTTTTTCCAAAAAGGATTTCAAACCTGGATTCATCAGAGCAGTTTTCCATTTTGTCTCAGTCGATTTGAATTAAGCTTTGGCGCAGAGAAGATAGCAGCATTTCGGGATCATCTTCACATGTGAATTCTTCTTATATGCTAGAGCTTTAATCTGCATTTGTGGATGGCATGGGAACTGCATTCAACAGACGTATTCTTGAGCCCATGCAGTGATTTCTATGACAGAATCACGCCTGTTTTTAATTGTCCCTCGTGCACAGAGATTTCTCCAGATTCTCTTTGTGGAGATTGGTGAACTTCTGCCAATCTTTACCTCTGATAGTCTCTGTCTCTCTAAGATGCTGTTTTTGTACCCAGTGATTTTACTGATATGTTGCTAGTAAACCGAAGTAGGTGCATAATTTTAATTTTGAGCTAGATGCTCAAATATAGTGATGAAGAAATGAAAGACCTTTAAATTTCAGTTATTTTTTTTACAAGAATCATTCATGCATCTGTCTGGCTTAAAAACATGAAATAAATTACAATAAAATCAAAACACATTATTATTAGTATTGTCCCAGAATTTTACATTCACTCTGTAGTACACAGCCTCATTTTACGCTGCTATGCACTCTTCACACTGATGCTGATGTTCTTTTTTTACCTTGTGAGATCTGCTACTTTGGTACAAAACCATCAGGACTTTATGTTTTTAGTTAGAAGCACCTTTGAAATTCAATGACAGTCTGAGAGAACCATCTTTCATGCTGAGCCCTGAACTCAGATACTTAACTAAGAGATCTGAGAATGTCCTACATCATTGTCATTAACACGTGTGACTCTTATTTTTTTCTTAAACAGCATAAAAGAAGCAGTGACTTTCATCAATGCAATTGATGTGAACAAGTTCTCCAGACTGATCTCCCGCATCATACAGAAGCTTCATCTGAAGGTATGGAGACTGCACAATGTTATCTGTGCCAAAGATGAGAGGCTTCGCAGCACAGCTGTCGTGCATGCATAAAGACTTACTGGAGCATCGCTCACACTTGACTCTAATTAATGCACATGCAGACCTGGATCTGCAAATCTTTCTGGTTTGTCACAAGATTGACTCGTCAAACTAAATGTTTTATTCAAGGGACTCTTTGCGTGGTTTCTTTATTTTTTTTGAAGTGCTAATGGGAGGCAGTGCAATTTTTTAAAATAATAATATTTAATGAAATAGACATTTTGACATGTATCAACAGGCGATCACATTATTTAATGTTCTTATGCTGCAATTCAGCCTAGCGCATGAATTGTTTTGTTGATATTTATGAAATTAGAATGAATATTTTAACTCCTTGTTAGTTTATGCTTTGTTTTTTATTCATACAGTAGCAGTTTTTCAACCTTTTGCATGTCTGATTTCAATTGCTACAAGCCTCAGTCTATCCATGACCTACCATCCACATTAAATAAAGATTAGGGGCTTTATTTACTTAACTGGTGGCACAGTGGTACAGTAGTTAGCACCATTGGCTCACAGGCCCAGAGAGAACTTGCAAACTCAGAAGCATTCAAACCTGTGACGTTCTTGCTTTGTGGGTTATGTCCAGGTACTCTGGATTCCTCCAAAGCCATGTTCATGTTAGGTTAGCTGGCAATTCTAAATTGGCCGTTGGTGTGAATGGTTTTCTCTCTGTCTCTCAATGTTAGCCCTGATAAACTGGCAACCTATCCAGGATGTACCTCCTTTCTTACCCTATGACTACTGAGATAGGACATTGGCTTTAGCTGCTATATGACCCTGAATTGGATAAGTTGAAGAAAGCAGAGTGACAAGGACTTAACTTTGGTAATTGTGATACTGCAATGTTCCACATTTTGCTTTAAAAATATCCAAAATAAAAATAAAACTATAATAAAAATCTGTTTGTTGACTGAACTGACTGTCACTCACGAGTGGCAGCAGAGGAGCTGCGCGCAGCAAAACATTAGTGTGAGTAACATGAGATTAATACTGTATGTTGCTTATGAATATAAGCTCCTTTCAAGGAAAACCTTTGTTGTTGTCAGACTTGTCAGATCAACACTGACACCCACATACTGTGTTTTAAAGCTTATTCTGAAAATGTTTTGATTGTCAAGCAGACAGTGGCTTTTCATTCATATATTTAGTTATTATTTCAGGATGCTTTTACATTACATTGGATTTTTTTCTACACAGGGAGAGCGGACGTTCAGTGAGGAAGAGGAGGAAAAACTCCAGGCTGCTCTCTCATTGGATAAAAATGCTCTCAACCTAGTCTTGGAAACTTCTGCCTTTATATTAGAGCAAGTGAGTGGTCACATTGTTTTTCCTGCAGTGCACATAAAAAGTGACTCAAATGATGCACATTTTGCATATTTTCTAAATATCTTAATATGAGGAGATTGGCATGGAGTGTGTACTGTAGCTTTTGAATCACACAGTGAGCCTATTTCTCCACCTGGGGTCACTGTTGTGTTGCGAGTAGTTGTATTTCCAATGTTGTGTTTGGTATTAGATTAAATGGATTGTTCTTTTATAACTGTAACTGCACAATAACCCGATATAAATGAATACATTTGATGCTGATTAACACATCCTGTCCTCTTCTCTCATCACCTTTACTAGGCAGTGTATCATAATGTAAAGCCAGCCTCTTTGCAACAACAGCTGGAGATGGTCCATCTAACCCCAGAGAAGGCTGAGGTGTTCTCTCAGACCTGGGCAACTACTGGACCCGAACTGGTGGAGAAACTGAAATGTAATTTATTTGCCCCGAAGAAGGTACAGTCTAAGGTTTTTTTTGTCCTCGTTAGCATCAGACTGCTTATTTTTATTTAGCAGAATATACACAGCAAACCCTTTACAGTTTGTTATTTATGTTTTACAAACAATATATCCAAACAAGAGTTTTACCACTGATGCAGAAACTACATTGCTTGTTTACAGTGCTTGTAAACCAGTTATTCTTGTCATTCATGCACCAGTTGTGCCTGTGCTGGTGTAAATGAGAAATTTCAGTTGCAGTAAGTCTGTGGAGGAACAGTAAAAGCAAGCAACACAGTACACAGTGTAATATTTTTTTGGGAACATTATTAGTGTTGATATACCTGAACTTTGACTACACCTGCTATAACGTCTTTAAAACCCAAAGCCGCCCGTTCTATTTTATTTTCATCGCGAGCCGAGTTCTATTGAATTCATAATGTGATACTGAATTGAAAATAAGCATCAGACTGTCCACATTAAGACTGACCTGCTTTTATGTGAATTCTTTCCAGCCATATGGATTACAAAGACTTCTTTCAAAGCTCACACAAGTTGTTTCATTAATTTCTAAACTTGTTTCGCTCTATAACTTGATTAAAGAGCGACACTTCAAACAGCATTCCTTTCAGAGACGAGGGAATTAAGATCAAACGCGGAATAAATACTCAGCATGTACACATCAGTCACATTATGCTGGGGCCGTTGCTGTTGTCAGACATTTATATGTCTCACCTGCTCGTGCCTGGCAAATCTTCCCCTCGCTCCCTAATGAATTTATACATGGAAGGATGTGACAGCTATTGATCCTTGAGAATAGAGTCGTAATTATACTAATACTGTAATAATTAAATTAATATGTTTTGTCTCACATGCACATTTGAGATTAAATTGAGTCTCATATTCATACACACCATTTCTATTCAGCAGGCATCTTGTCATTTCTGCCACATGCTCATTGAACATAAAGCCATAAGTTTCTTATTTCTTGCTCAATATCAAAACTGGGTGTGAAAAATAAAGCTACAAGTATTAGTCAACCAACTGAACATTAACTGGCATCGCTTTTGATTAAGCAATTAATTGCGCGTATCAAAGAATTTGTAGAGTTCAGCCTCTGGAATATCAGGACTTGGTTCTTTTTTTTCTTCACTGATAATATCACAATTGTAAATGCAATATCTTTGGTTGGTTGGACAAAAAGCTGACATTTGAAGATCCCACCTTGGGCAATTATAAATGACATTTTCCCCTGTGTTCTGGCATTTTACAGAGCAAACGACAAAACAATCAGCAGATGAATCAATAAAGAAAATAACTGCGAGATGTAGCTGTAAGCTCAGTGCTCGTGTCAAATATACGTGTGTGTGTGTCATGATTGACAAATTAAGTAAATAGTTTTTTGAATGCACAGCAGAAACGAGCAACGGTCTTACAAATAATCACAGACCGCATCACCCCAGCGATCTAAATAGTTGTGAGAACTAAATACCAAAATAATATAAATATCACACATGTGGGAACAGGACCTCAAGTTAATCTCTATGCTTGCTACTTTGGTTGTCGGGACAGTTCCTTTCATTCCCTTTTTTTTTTTTTTTATCTAAAAATGAGCAAACTGACCGACGATCAAGCAGAAAAAGCAGAAATGTGTTAGAAAGCAATGCCTATGTACTGTACTATTAGAATGCTCATTTATTTTGACCGATCTTATGCAAGATAATAAAATATGCAGGTGTTTATTAAATGTATTCAGATTTATTCCTTTACATGTAAAGAAACTTAAAGACCCACGACCGCAGAGTTGTAATGTTTATTCCTGCTAATTTGAATGTTTCTGCAGTATAAATAAACGTATTTCAGTCCTTCCCCACCTCACACCTGTGCTGTGATGCATCCACAACCAATAAGTCACACATGGTTTATTATTATGGCCTCTCCCTGCATCATAAAACACTTAACTGCCCCGCCTTGACTCACCGCTGCTAATCTATCACACTGCTTCAGCTGACTGGTGAAGTGTCTGTCATTAAATCAGCCAAGCAGGTGGGGGAATTGGTGAGGTTGGTATAAGGAGACGCTGCAAGTTTTACAAGTTCACATCACATCACGCAGACAGTCTTTTTTTTCACTTTTGTTGGAGAAAAGTTTGGATGAAGGGATAAAGTAAAAGTCTACACAAATGTGGCCATGCAGCAAATAAAATAGTTTTCAGTTTTCCTTTGTTATTGTAACAAAGCGATATGGCAAAATGTTAACACGAACAGATGAAATATTGAAAAGTCTAAATTAGTAATAACTACTTTGGAAAAAAAAGTGCAATGCTGATTAATTTGACTAATAAGTGCTTTGGAAACATAAAACAGTAAAAAAAGAAAAAGAGGGAAAAACAATGAGAAGGAAATGAAGGATAATAAAAAAAATCAGGTCAAAAGTACCAAGATAATGAGGATGAGGCAGAAGTAATAATAAAATAGCAATTATTTTATGGGAAAAACACTTTTTTAAGTCTTTGAAAAGCTGCCTGAGGCAGTTATTAAACTGAAGTGTGAGGCTTTATTTTTACAGTTATGTTAATTCTAAAACTCTGTTTGTGTGTTTCAGCTGGAGTATGTTGGCTGGCAGTTGAACCTGCAGATGGCTCAGTCCAGCCATGCCAGACTGAAGTCTCCCAGTGCCGTCCTCCAGCTGGGGCTCCAGGGTGAAGACTCTGAGGTATGGACACATACAGACAGTCTGCTTTTCTTATAGCTTTACTTATCTATTGTAAACATCCTATTTGCTCCAAGTCTCCAACTTTGATCACAGAGCTGTTCTTTGTAAATGTCAATTAAGAGGCACCATCAGTCTTTCTCTGTTCTTTTGCTAATCCCTCTGGTCTCTGTCTTGACCCAGAGGTAGACTTGCATCTAGCTCCAGGGTAACTGTAGTGTATGGATCAGAGATCAGGGAGCTTGTTATCAGAAACCTCGTGGGTCCTTTTGTTCTCTTGAGAGACTTATTGTGTGGTTGAAATTGGTCAGTGTGTTGGGGCATTGTTTTGTTACCAGCACTGAATTGTTTGAATGCCCAGCATCTAAGCTCTGTTGGAATATGATTTAGTCTCGGCGCCTGCCTTATTGAGGTCACTAGTGAGTTTCTTCATTAAGATTCTTAATAGGCAAGTTTTACCCACAAATAGTAGGACAAATAATTAAGCAGCAATCTAATTAACCTTAAATATTTTCTCTTCTAAAGGAAAACACCAAGAAGCATGAGCTACATATTGTTTTGACTTTTTGTTTTCTATCAAAGCATTTTCCTGTTTCTATTTATTTTTATTCAGAGTTTGTTTGGATCCCAATTAGCTAAAACCATGTACTTACTCTGATAACTGAGACCTCATGAGCCTCCCTCACTCATTTATTCTTTTTCCACTGGGAGAGGTAGAGCTCTGTAGCTGTAGTGGAAGCAATCAGAACTCAAAAGACAGTGTCTTTTTAACATTAAATGATTTTCAACCTTTGAAGTTTGAGATTTAATTGAAACATTTTCTTGAGTCTTAATGATTTAATTCTCCTAACAAGCTCAGCCTCAAACATGAACACATACTTAGTGAAATGTTGTTGATTTTATTTTATTTTATTTTATTTTGTTTGAGAAATACTTGAAATGTATTCTGCCGACTATGAGTGGTGCACACGACTTTTGTTTGTTGGCACAGATACTAAAAATTGATTTTTGGTCTTTGGGCACTTGAACGGTTTCTTGTAAAACAGTTTTTGTCTCAGAATGGTGAGACTGATTATCCCCACAGCCTGGATAGTGGTGTTCCAGCTGACTAGTCAAGTGTCTTTCTCGCACACTGCTTTGTATTCAGACCCTAGAGAATGTCGGCTCAGTCTGAACGTAGAATTAGGCATGACATATTCAAATTGCTGTCATCTTAAATGCGGCCCTATAGGCGTTAGCCAGAAAAAAATGTGTTTTGCTTTATCTTTGTGAATGCAACAGCAGTACGTTATTTTATTTTTTTGTGGTTTTCTTCTGTGTTCTCCCTAGGCTTTGCAGAAGAGGTATTAATTTATTTAAATCCACTTACACAATTTCCCTTGTGGGAGGAGATAGCTGGGGGGCTAAAACAAGGCTGGTTAAAAGTGTAAAGGGATCAACTTCACTGAACATCATTGAGGTGCACGTTCACCGTTGACCTACAGGGGGCACTGTTGCCTCACAGTTTGGTAAGCAGCCCTCAGGGGCAGTGAAGTGTCTGAGATGGATAAGATTCCTCGTTTAAGTTTGTATTAAGGTACTTTGAGCGTGCACTTTTCTTTTAAATTTCCATTGGTGCTTTCTGATTAGAGTTTCTTGACAGTAAGTTTGTTTGCTTCCAAACTCTGAGAATCTCTCAGTAAAACTTTTGAGATGTCAAAACACTGCAATGACAGAGAAGTAAATTAGTTGTGAATAGAAATGAAATTCTGCTGCAAGTGTCATACTAATTACAGCACAGATTTATAGCACCGTCACTGCTGGCTGTCTAATGGCGAGGGGAAGGGAAAACAGCAAATGGAAGAAAGCAGAGAATTAAGAGGTGACAAGGACAGAAATATTGAAATATAAAGGTGAGAGAGGGAGTGAAAACAAGTAAAACAATTAAAGAGGATAGAAATACTGAAGAAAATTGGGATCAAGAACAGAAAGCAAAAGATGTGTAAGGGGATGGCAACAGTGGCACTTTGTGTTTTATTGATTGCTTGGAACCTAAGTGGAGAGTAAGACTCTCTCATCCGACTGGCCTCCTACTTCATTAGCACTCTTCCTGAGGAGGAGGACTGCCAGGGGGCTTCACATCTCATTCTCCAAACTATATGTGACGTACAGTGTATCTGCAGTAGAGTGGATAAGATGTTAGATGGCATACTTGAAATTAAAAGTGAGTGGAGTGGATTTTTATATTTGTTTCTGTGTTTTATTGAAGTATATAATATCAGGGGAAGATCTTCATAACACCCTCTGTCTCTAAAGTGTGTGGACCAACACGGAATTTATGGATTATAGTTTCTGTTTCAATAATTGTGTGACCTCACCCATGTGAGATGATATTTTCCTCATAACTGAATTTGTATCGGGTTTGGTGAAAAGTTGCTGTTTCAGATATGAAAACCAAGGAAGCACTGCAGTACATCGGCACAAGGCATAAATGTCTTCTCATGCACTCCTTAATATTTCAGGAGTGAGAGCTCTAGTTTACCCTCATAAGGACTGGTGAGATTGGCCTCGTTCAGTGAAGGTATGACGCAAGACCTGTTGCATTGTTATCCCAGTGGGTAGGGGGCTGAGACAGAAAAATGACTTGATTGATCTGCTGTCAAAAGGAAAGAAAAGTTTGGGGGAAAACTTGATGTGAGCAGATGATGGAAGGGAGAAGATCAGGATGCAGCAGAAGGTGATAGCAAGGACAAACAATAGAGAAAAGACTACAAAGAAAACTCGAGAACGGCAACTGAAAGATGAGAGTGAGAATTTGCTGAAATTTTTTATGCAGTTTGCATTAGGCTATGTGAAGTCCTCTTAATAGTCGTGTGTATGGCATGCGACTTTACGACAGGAAGTGTTTCTGAGCTTCTGAGAAACAGGAATGTCTGCTTTTATCTGTATTTGAGAAGGTTTTTGTTGGCATGCTAGCTAGACTGCAGATAACCCGATTAAACATTTCCAGCTGCATAGACCTTGAGGTATAAATGCATAGTTTTTTCCATTTTATGTCAGAGGTGTGTTGTTTGTGAGACTTTTGCCTTTAGAGAAATAATGATGTGTAAAACAGATACTGGCTTTCTACCCAGCATCTGCTGTATGCATACTGGACTGCTTGAGTTTGTAGCACCACATGGACATCTCCCTTTCATTCTCCAAGTTACTGACTTTATCCTTCGGTGCAAAACTTTTTGAAAATCTTCAAATATGCCGGTAGGTTATGAATGAAAGAAATTGACAAAAAAAAACAAGATTCTTAGTTTCATAAATTTATGTATTTACATCTCTAGTGCAACAAACCAACATGCCAACAAACCAGATGGCACAATTTTGTACAGCAGCAGAGACAAAAACGTAAGTGTTGAAAACTTGAGGAAGTGAGATCTTTTTTTAGCCATATGTTTTCATGATCACACCATGACTGGGCCACAAAGTATTTAACAAGATATCATTATTTTTCTGTGATTATTGAATTTGTAAAAAGACACAGCTCACAGAAAGCAAACATGCAAGAGGAGAATATTTCAATAATAGATAAAAGAAAGGCAAAGATAAAAAGGGCGCTGAAAGTAAAACATTAAAGTGAATTATTCTTGAACTAAACTGCAGGAACTCTGCATTATTCACATCTTTATTTATCTTATTTATCTCTGAGGTGCGGAAACACTGGCTGCCTCTCAAAAGCAAAGGATTTGAACGCAAACCAGACAGTGTGAAAAACTAAGTAAAGTTAATGCTTTCACAGGAGTTATGAGGGTAAGTAGCAGCCATGTACTGTTTATTAAATCAAGTAGTTGTCAAGCATGGTGTTGGAGGTGTGACGATTTTGGTTTGTTCTGCAGCCACAGCAACCTCATAGTCACTGAGTCGACCATGAACTCCTCTGTCTAATGTGAGGCCATCTGTCCGACAGCTGAAGCTAGGCAATATTTTGTTTTGGTACAGGACAATCATGCCAAGCATACCGGCAACAGAATGGCTGAAAAACAAAATAGTCAAGGTGTTGCAGTTGTCCGGTCAAAGTCAAGACCTCATCCTGACTTAAGTGCTGTGCCAGGACCTTAAGAGAGCTGTGGGGAAACAAATGACCTCAATAAACTGAAGCTGTAAAAAAGAGCGCGCCAAAATTCCTTCACAATGATTGAACGACTAATAAAGTCACACAGCAAACAATTCAGGTTATTTCTGCTGAAGCTGGTTTTGTTTAATCTCGGGGTTTGTTTAATCACACTAAATAAATAATGGCTTTATGTGATGTAATGTGCCATATGTTGTTGATCTGACCTGGCACTGAATTAATTTTTAGACCAGTACGAGTAGATTTTTTAAAACTTATGCCCTGTATAAAACATTTAAATTGACAGATAGTGTACCTTCATTGTGTCATGACTGTGATCATATTTAGGAACTGTGTTTGACATCGTATAGAAGAAAGATTGTCTGAATCTCAGTGTTTAGACCAGAGTGAAGCCTGAGTTTTTAGAGCACAAGAATTATTTGTACATATTCCAACTTCATTATTTGAAATTTTGGGCATGTTTTGTATTGGCAGCCATAATTTCTAAAGTATATGTATGAGACAAAAAAAAAATAAAGACACAGTATCAAACGATCCTTTTAAGCATATGATGTAAGGTAAGCATTTGCAGGGCCATTAGTCATACTCAAAATATTTGGCCACAGAATAAGCAGCTTAGTGTAAACACGTCAATCAGTTGCACTATTAATTTGTGCGGCACAACGCTTTGGGAATAGGACAGAGAGAAAACCCACTTCTGATGGAGGCTTTTTGAGGAGGCTTTAAGCACTGCTAAGGATGTAATATCCACTCACTCATTTAAAGGAGCACACTGGATCTTTTTCTGTTTTGAAACACTCGGATAAATAATTCGATGAAAAGACAGATATTCCATGGAGGAAAGTACAAGTGGCTATACTCAAGTGGGCACAGCCTGCATTTGTTTAAAATTTTTGTTAGCTTGTAAAACAATATTACAAATCAGCCTTTTGACCCCTTTTAGCGGTCCTACTTGCGACCACCTTAAGATAGACTGATTCATTTAAAAAACCTTTGGATGCTTAACTTTGTTTTCTAAACATAGATTCATAAAACGGAAATTCTGATGTCTTAAAATTAAAATCCTTTACCGCTCTTGGTGTCTGTCTCTATCTTTTGGCATTAGGATGAGCCACTGCCCTGCTGACCAAAGGCTAGGGTGGAAGTTATAATACGGAACATCCACTTGCAAGGCAGACTCTGTCGATTTTAATATTTATTGTGCACATGCTAGGCTGCAAAAGCACGGGGTAAGAGCTAGTGAGCTAATGTACCCTCTACATGCTGGCTCCGACTTCAAAGGATATCTTTGCTTGATAGCTTCAGACAGACTTGATGAGAATTGATAAAGCAAAGCTCTTCTGAGTTTTTAAGCCTCAAAGGGGAAAAATGTACTAAATGCAGCTTTGAGACAAATCCCAGACTTTTCCCAACAGATTTTTCTTATGTTCTTCCTATGGCCTATTCAATCAAAAACTTGTAAGCGGGAATAGCTTTTCCCCTAGAGCTGGAGTTTCCACTGGACGCCGCCCAAGTACTTGTTTCATTCAGTCTTGTTGTTTTTCATTTCACTATGGGGCTCAAGTGACTGGTTGATACAACACCCTGCTGGCCTTAGAGCCTCAATCCTGATAAGGAAAACTCACTCTAAAAAACTTGTAACGATAAAAATAAAATGTTTCTTTAAACTCAAACAGTTTTAACAAACCTAGCGATGTCCTCCCCATTATAAATAAGAGGGAAAGCAAATATACACATGAAGGAGAGAAGAGGAGAAGCTCAAACTAGAGGAGGATCTTCTCTAAGTGTCTGTCACCTGAGATAATAGGAATTTGTTTTGGGGGTTTTTGTAATTTCTAATTATAAAGTGAAAATGGCAAATATTTGCTATATCTGGCTTCTCAAATGTAATGTTTGCTGTTTTTTATCGTTTAACTTTAACAGATGTTTAGTTTGATAAAAGGAGCAATTTGAGAATTTTACTGTGGGCTTCAGAAAACAAGGATTTATCAGTTTCTGACAGTTTGTAGACTAATCAATTAATTGATTGAAAAATGTAGCTAGAGTAAGTGTAGAGAAAATACTTTCTTAATTAAAAGAAGTTCAGAGGTCAGAGATTAGGGTCAGCACCTCTGATCTCATAGAGATACAGTATTTCACTCCTGGTAATTTCAGTCCACTAACAGATTACATTTTTATTAACAAGTGTCTCCTCTGGTCCTCTTAAATGCATCTGTCATTTTAACTGCACTCACCTGTTTCTTAAATGTCACAGAGTACAAACAGATCATTATAGTATAACACAAAACTGTAACCAAAGTAAAACAGTCAACAGTCCATTTGTTGTAGCGTCTGGAAAGGGAACAATTGAGCTTGTTTTGCGTCACTGTTCCTGAAGGATGGTGGATGATGCTGTGGTAGTTTAAACAGCTCTCAATAAAATTTGGACTCAGAAGAGCGGCTTCTTTCTCGTAGGCAGAGTGTTTCTAAGCATCAAATAAGCTTGCTGTTAATTGTGCTCATTCCTAGGCAAGTGCTTCTTTTCAGAAAGAGCATATTTCTGATTCCTGATTCACATTTCTGGGTCTTATTCTGTCTGATTCCTCCAAATTTGCATAGTTTTACTCCAGTCCACGCTTTCAGCACTTTTCCTTTTTATCGATCCCCAAATAAATTTCACGACCTACTTTTTTTTCTCTCCTATCTTTTATTTGTGATTTTTTTATGAGTGAATCTCATAAATTTGTATTATTATTTTTTTTGTGTGTCAAGTTGTCCCTAGCTAGCTCCAAACTATAAGACAACTCAATGTAGTTTGTGGAAACCTGCTTGTTTTTCTTATCAAGGCATCCAACATGAAAGAGTTTTTTTGTTGTGTGATTCTAATTTATTTTCTCTGTTTTGGCTTATAGCACCGGTGCTGTAATGACGGAGGAATGAAAGCTCTGTGCTCGAAAGCACACAACAATACACACTCGGCACACGTTTTGAGCCCTCTCGGTGAAGGCTGTGACTTTATTTATTAACACTGTGTGATGAGGCACGCAATTAAACATCCCTTTTTGACTTCTGCGAGGAGGTGCTGTGATCAGAGCCTCCCTGAACATCCCTGCTTGCCTCACGTGTCTCTGTCAAACCAGCATCACGAAGATGCGGGGCAAACTTTGAACGCAATTCAAAGTCCTCCTGACAAGTTACGTAAGGCCTCATTCTTGCCTCCCACATGCTGTCGTCATGTAGACCCAAAAAACAACTCATCCGGTGTAGATCCAACCTTTTCATTTTTCCATTTGAGGGATTACATGGCCCAATCAATATATTTGAGAGCTTTGATGTAAATGGTACCACGTTCAAATCCTTCACACCAAGCCACCCACCAGCCGGGAAGGACAAAAGCAGCTTTGTCTCAGTCTCTACTTGCCTTGCTCTACATGTCCCAAGATGCTTTGTTGCTTTGTGTGCACATCTTTTTAAGGGTCTCCCTTTCTCTCTCCATCTCTCTCTGTCTCGTTCTCCATCTCTCCCTCGCCCTTCCACTTTCCCACTGGTGATTTGTTTTTCTCCTCTGGGATTTGGGATCCCATTCATTCAGAGTGCATTGTTCAGCTCTTATCCATTCTAGTGGATGGGCCCCGAGATGCAGAATGGGTGACTGTGGGTCCTCTCGTCTCTGCCTTCGCTCTCTCTCTCTCTTTCTCCCCCCAACTTCTCGCCACCCCACTCCTTGCTGCTTGCCATACGATGATGTCATGGCTCCTATTTGCTCCGGGGGTACCCATTGATTCGATCTCCCCATTACACACTCTCTATATCTCTCCTGTCCACCCCGCTCTCTCCCCAACCTCCACTCCTGTTTTCCTCAGCCAATCCCCTTCCCAAATTCTTTCGCCTCTTAAAAGGCGCCTGGGGGATTTGGGTATGTTTGGATGTTGTTTCGCACACCCACGGTACATGCTTGACACCCAGATAGGCGAACCGTCAACCCTGCAAATCCAACTGCAACTTCCACTTAAATCTCATTGATTTAACGTCGCCCTTTTATTCTCACATCTCCCACTCCTGTGATCAGCTTTTATTTCTCTTTGGTTATTCAGCCTGTTTTGTTTTACACCCAGTTTGTGAAGTAATCATTAATCCCCTGTTAATCTGTTGGCCATTTTGTAGAAGCTGGTGGAAATGCT